AATCACATTGTATGCAAAGATTTCTTTTTTAATTAATTAATTTATTAATTTATTTATTTTTTGGCTGTGTTGGGTCTTCGTTTCTGTGCGAGGGCTTTCCTAGTTGCGGCGAGCGGGGGCCACTCTTCATCACGGTGCGCATGCCTCTCACTGTCACGGCCTCTCTTGTTGCGGAGCACAGGCTACAGACGTGCAGGCTCAGTAGTTGTGGCTCACGGGCCTAGTTGCTCCGTGGCATGTGGGATCTTCCCAGACCAGGGCCCGAACCCGTGTCCCCTGCATTGGCAGGCAGATTCTCAACCACTGCGCCACCAGGGAAGCCCCCGTATGCAAAGATTTTACTTCCCCTTTTTCCATGTGTATTTCCCTTGCCTACCTGCATTACCTAAGTACATCAGTCTAAACAATGTTAAATAATAGTGGTGTTTGTGGTCATTCTCTTGTTTCTAATTTTAATGGAAATGTTATTTCTGGTGTTTGTCCACTAAGTGTGATGCTGTTTTGTGGACTGAGAAAGGAATTTTTTTACCATGTTAAAGAAGAATCTATATATTCCTATTTAATTAATTTTAATAGATGTCAAACTTTATCAAATGCCTTTTTAGTACCCATAAAAATTATCATAGCATTTTTCCAATGTACAACTATTAATATGATGAAATACATTATGATGTATTTCTATAACAAATCAACTCTATATCACCCAAATACAGTCACATGGTCATGGCGTATTATCTTCTAAGGTGCTACTGGATTCTGTTTAATTTTCCTTTTATTTAGGATAATTGCCTCACTATTAAAATGAAAATTTGTGACTTTGTTTTTGTGCAATCTTTTTCAGTATTTGGTGACAATGTTATATTCGCTTCATAAAAAAAATCCTTTGGAGAATTTATTTTTCTATGTCCTACAAAGTTGAAATTGCATAGGAATTATCTTCAACACCAGATAATATCTTTTTCTATGAAGGAAGAACTTTCCTATCCCTTGCTTCTTTTTTCTGCCCCCAACTTCAATTCTGGAGGAGACTAAATGGGATAGAATGAAGGGGATGTGTGAAGATTAAGCACAAAGTGGAAAATATAGAAGTTGATATGCTCTCCTCTCCTCTCCTTAGCTTCCTATTCCAAAGCAGCAGTATTAAGTTGGGGGAGAGGAAAATCTCAAACTTCAAATGAAGTTAAGAGTTTTTATTATTAAACTGGGCTGCACCTTTAAATTGCTGAAATGAGATTATTCTTATGACTTGAAGTGACTGTGAGGACTTTTGATAATCTAAGAGTTACTAGAAAAATCTATGAGACTTAAGCACGCACAATGAGTTGTTCTGAAGGGCCACAGGAGGAAACAAAGTTATTTCATGACTGCACCCTGTTAAGTCCATCTTTTGCTATGTGGCAGTTACACCTGCCTAGGACACTATAAAGAAGGATGAATAAAAGCAGCCCAGGGCTTCCCTGGTGGC